AGCGCGGTCCTTCCTCGGTCGAGCCGACCCATTCCTGCAACTACTATACTACGAATATAGCTGCAGCATGGCTCTACCACGTATAAAAGTTCAGAGTATCAGAGTTCTGCATTGGTTCTGCACCTACGAACACGTCTTCGTGCGTAGTTAAATATAGAGAAAAAAAGTGACATTTAAACATTGAAGTAATATGTACATTTAAACTGGACAAATAATATTACAATATATTAGATGTATTCATCCCTTTATCAAATGGATATATACTTATATATTTAAGACAATTACTATCGTCATTAGTATTCATAACATACCTAAAGCACTAGTAGCTCTAGTACTAGTTGGTCTAGCGACCAATAAACCTTTATTTGGCTTCGTCGAAAATCATTTTACTTTCTTTCTTTCTTTTGGCACCACTTAGGATAACTTCTTCCATAGATATTTATGTTTTATCTGTGATCTGGTTTTTAAAATCCCCGTCCGGTCTGTGTGTATGCTTCTAACTGACCTGATATGATACCGTTCATGTAATATTTTCTTACATGGCAATACGTGAGGCACGGGCAGCTATCGGGTAACAATACACGTTCAAAGATAAGGTAAATTACAATTCATAAGGTACGTGCGGGTAATATGGTCACCTTAAGCTTTGCCACCCTATAAAACCAAAACTAAGAGGAGGACAGACAAAAACATATAGTCGTATACTATAACTAATATGTTAAGAAAAAAATAGCAAACAATCTTTTTCAATAAGTAGGAACACTTCGAAAAATCAACTTAAAAAAAACTAACTACACTACACAATACTAAAATCGACTAAAATTCTTACAATATTTTAACTGTCAAAATAGCGTCGATAAAGCAGCGACCTTTTGACCCTTTATTATTTGATTGACTGAGGAAGAGCTATCGTGTCACAGACTCACAGAGCCATCCATGCAAACAAGGCTGTAGTTTTTGAGTTATAAGAAAGTGACCATATTAACCGGATGACTATATTCCCTCACATACTATGGTCATTTAGGTCACTCCATTAAATCGACAATTTCATACTTTAACCCCTATTATGATCGAATAAAACTACATTTACGGATTTTATCGCGTTTAATTAACTTATTTTATAATCCCGACGTTTTCCGAAAATAAGTTAATTAAACGCGATAAAATCCGTAAAAGTAGTTTTATTCAATGTGTAGTGTTCGCGTAAATATAAGAAATCCCTATTATGATGTTTGTATCTATATCTATCTGTCATATACCTATTATAATGAAATTACGGTACCATTGTTCCCCTTTCGGATCGGACAGGGTGTTTTTACATAGGTTATATAATATTGTATAATATTTTTAAATTATCCCAAGCGAATGGATATGTTTTGAGCGCTTTTACTTTTGACAGTTTCATAACTCTGATTACAGAACACAATTACTCTCTAAACTCTGATGCAAATGGACATGTCAACTGTAGAGTTATGAAAACAGTCGCTTATTGCAGCTTGTTTATGCGCTAATTCGATTTTATATCGCTATACGTTACACATTCATATTCCACTGAAGTGGATATTCGTTATAAAATATTTGTGTTAGTTATAATCAATGTGAATCACTTGTGGTGCATTTGTAACTCGCTATGGTATCGCAGTGGTTCGCTTTTGGTTGCAGCGTTGCGAAACTCGGATTTAAATAACGCACAACGCCAATAATTATACCATTTCTAAATGTTTTCCTATGTGCGACTAATGAAGGGCATCCACGACTTTTTCTGCCACCAGGGCGGCGCCACTTTAAAATGAGGTCAAATATTTGACAAATTTCATACCTAGATTAATGTTTATTTCTGTATTATTAGTTATATTTTATATTAATTAGCTTATAAATTAATAAAAAAAATTATAAATATAAGTAAAAGTAGAAAAAATTAAATAAGAGTTAAAAAGTGCCAAAAATTAATGATCAAACCACTGAAGCATTGTTTTGTGTAATATAATAAACAAAACAATGCCTCAGTGGTTTTATAATACTTTAGAAACTGATAAACTATTATTAAATACTAACTAACAAAATCCTATTCACTCTTGCCTTGAAGACGCTCAGATTATATTAGGACGGAAAGACTGACGCCGGAAAAATATTAATATATTCTTATTTATAATATTTTTTCAAAGTTATTAAATTTACCTCCACCTAAAAAATCTGGTAACTCAATTTTTAATAAAAATAAACCCTTCCACGGCGAAGGCACGAGATCAAAAACGCTACGTAATGCGCACTTTTGTTCTTATTGGAATGTGGTTTGACAAGTCCGACCATATAAAAATTTCGTATAACGATGGTCCAAGTTAAAATATTAAAGCGATTTGTTAAAGTACAAGGCTCGAAATACACCAAAATGGATATAGGCGGAGAGGAGATGTGAGGCTTATTAGCCAGGGTTTACCATGAAAGCTGGGAGGAGATATTACAGAACACCATTGTAAAATAGTTTCGTAGAGTGAGTGTAGAGAACTGGAGACCTGCAAACGACAACACATCTGTATTATGATACTTAATCAAGACTAAATTGAGATGTCTATGGGTCTTAACACCCACATACCATATGGTAGACTAGTGACACTGTCTCATAACTGAGAGGGTTTTTATGACAAGGAAGTGTCTACCGCGCTGCTTCAATGCATTTTAGAGGACTTGACATGTTTTTGAAACATTTCTTTTAAACTTCTCAATACGTGCAAATTTTCTCATTCGGCCAACGGAAATTCTAACGGCCGTTACGGTAAATCAAACAATTTAATTGATGCCAACGGGGATCGAACCCGGCTTGCTCGCGTATTTACAGCCAGCGTTCAGGCCCTGAGCTACCACGGCTCTAATATGTGTACCATAAAGCCGTACAAATTATTAAAATAAATATAAAAGTATGACCTCGTGGATTTTTAATTGGACCAAGCCCTAATTTCCAAAAACGGATAAACATTACCTCCCACAAGAGCATTTCATGTTAAATCACTTTCTCCGTAAACACACCTGTTATGGGTCTTACGAGGTTCTCGAAATGTGATGAGACATTGTAAAATTATAAAGCGGCATCGTAAATTTCATCATACACGCCCCGTACCTACAAAATCGAGAAAGGTCCGCAAATTACCATTAAGAAATCGATATGAACTTGTAATCTCGAAATTAGTAAGCTCAACGCTCAGTGTTCAATCTACCACGGTGAAAGGAAACTTGCATTCATGAGATATTAAATTATTTCGAGAACAGGTGAAGTCCGCAACTTGCAATGTAGCGCGGAGTAGCGGACTCAACATTTTAGAGCATAAAATAGTCCTGCGCTTCAAAATTGAGGACTGTTTACAGTACTTTTTTGAAAGTTACATATAATATGTCGCAGCCAATTAGCTTAATTAGCCTTTCAATTAACAGTCTAGCCTTTTTACTAAACGGTGCCGTTCAACTAGCGACCTGAATGATATCCAGCCGATGCGTCTAATACAACATTGCACCTATATTGTATTATCAGTGACAGTAGATTAAGTTGCGACTGGGGTGGCCCTTGGGCCACCCTAAAGCCACGTACATTTATATAATATAGCACATAATGAATAATTAGGCACAGACCTGCGACTTTACATGGCATGGTCACCTTATTAATTTCATTCAACGAGCCGGCTAAATTACGATTATATTCTAGGCTAGTTGAATAGCGCGGTTTAGTAAAAAGGCTAGGCTATTAACTGAAAGACTATTTAATGATTATCTTTTTATTAAATAGGTCCTTATACGTCATGGGTGGTCCCTTAAAACTAGCTAGCTTTTTATGTGTAAATTATATTATTTTAAAATTTTTGAAGTCGGTTTTCACTTTTTATGAAGCAAAAGTCTCATTTTGTATCCCATTCGGTTTTACTAATTTTAATGTTCACATGTATACATACATATAAATAAAATTGAAGTGTCTGTCTGTGCTATTAAAATAACTGAATTTTATTGAGCAGAGAGGGTTATTTACATGCCATTGAGACATGAGTAACAATTCTTAAAAAATTGTGTCTGTCTGTATGTTCGGGCTAATCTTCGGAATGACGGAACCGATAGTAATATAATTTTACAAACAGATAGAGAGCAATGCCAGGAGGGATCTAGGCTACATTTTATCCGTTAAACTTCCAGATTTTTTTGGAAATCCAAAATAAAATGGTCTTTGATTATCTTCTAAATAATGCCACATTAATAGATCCCTTCCAGGTGAAGCCAGGGTGGCTCGCTAGTATATATTTAAAACTAACACGCAGTACTAGTGATTTATATGGGGTAATGTATGGGGAGCATATGTACATCAGTGGACTTTGGCATGCTGTTATAAATGAATTGTTTTATTAAATCTTCTTTATATATAAAAAAAAACATGAGTCGCGGAACACTCGATTGGAACGAAGTTCTTTTCGTAGTATATTATTATTGATAAGCGTATTATATTATTAATTAACAAATAGCGTCTATTAAAATGAAATAATATTTCTTTCATGTCAAGATAAGGTGCGAGGGCGATGGATTATTCCATCTCGCTTCCTTATAGCCGCCGAGGCCGTCTACGTCAGAAGGGGTCGTGACGGAAAAGTCTTACACTTTTTCTCGCCTAATCCGCCAAATCCACCGTCCGATAAGGAACTTCGTTCCGAAATCAAATGATGTCTGTTAGTCTCGTTAAAACTCGAAAACGGCTTCGATTTTGATAAAATTTTTTGTGTGTCTATGGACTATCTAGGGACGCTTTAAACGGGTCCCTAGATGGTTGAGACTCATTTAACGCTGTGGTCGAGATCCAGAAACCACCCGTGCGCAGCCGGGTCGGATCTTTAGTACCTATTAAAATAAAATCAATATTTAAAACTTAATTTTGCTATTTTAGTACAAGCAATTGTAATGTGTTTTAAAATTTTATACTCGACTCGAATTACCTTATAACCCTGCTAACAATATTGTATATCTTGTTTCAGGTTACAGCCTTGGCTGTGCTCAGCTTAACAAGCGCCAAAAACTCGACAGCGAAAACAAAACCGAAACGACAACTCGATAATATACGATCGCCGCATAATCTACAATACTCCTTGGTACTCCCACATTCAAGAGTTGCCCATTTCCAATCTACATCGAGCAACCGCAGGATTTCCAATGTACCTAGAGGAAAACTTCCGCCTTACGCGGTGCAAATGGAACCAGTCGTCCAATATTCCCAAAAGGATCCTCTGTACGACCCGAGCCATGATAATTTAGATGATGCCGTAATAAACAAAAATGAAATCCATGCTCAACCAAAAATTCTGAACATTCATGATCAATCGTCCGAAGGCTCATTTGGACCACCCTATGGAGCATTGCCGACTGCACCTTTGTATAGTTATGAACCACAACCTCATTATATAGATGCTCCTGAACCTATAATTGAAATTATAATTAAAGAATCCAATGAATCACTGCCAGCACCACCCCCACCACCAATTCAAAAAAAGAAAAAGGAACCAGTTCACGTTTTCTACGTGAAATACAGTAAAGACCCCCACTCTAAGGATAAAGTTGTATACGAGAAACCAATACCAGCTATAACACCACCTTCAAATGATGAAGACGAGCATCATGAGGAATATGTCACTGTAACTCCTGAACCTTTATATTTACCAACTCGAACGACTACTTTAAGAGCTATTATTAAGCCTGAATCAGAAGTATATCATAGCGACAGTAGTGTTAAGGTGACTTTCGGAAGTGAGGAAAGTCATTACGATGATCGGCGAGAAGGAAACACACCGCACGAAGATCGTGAAGAAACTGCCCCCAGACCTGCTATTGCTTTACCAAATGCGCACCCAAGTCCTCAAACCTATGAGCATTCTGCTTCTCCCCAGCCGCAATATCGCGAATCAGCAAATAGACCTATATCACATTCTAGTCCTTTAACAGAGCATCTATCACATACATATAGATCTGGCACTCAACATGCCCAAAATCGAGTTCAGTTCCAGCAATCTTTCTTGGCTAATGACTACCGGTTACCAAGACAAGGCCCATCTGTAGCACCGTTTAGAAATCAGCCACATTCTACTAGACAAAGCCCATTTGCACCATCCCCTCCAATAAGCTCACATCCAACCTTTCCAAATGCTTCTCCAAGTTCCCACTTCACGAATATTGCTCCGACCATTGCAGGTCCCATTGGTCCTGCCTTACCTACGTCATTATCTAGACCTACATTTCATGCTCGTCCAAGCAACCCTCCAGCTTTTGCTTCTAGGCCACATTTTAATAATCCCACGAGAACTACTTTCCACTCTGGACCGCAAAGACCATTCCATCAACCTCAACCTCAACCCCAAACATATTTCGATGAACCTAAATATTTGCAAGAGAATTATCATACTATTACAACAGAACAGGTAGAACCACCTAAGGTTCAGTTATTACCAACTCGACAGGCGCAAAACTTTAATTCTAAGCCAAGTCCTAGTCCTTCAACTGCTCATTTTTCAGAGAGTAGACTTCAACTGATTCCGTATAATCAACAACTACCACAACAACGACCACCTCAGCAATTTAATTCAGTTTCAAATAAGCCATCATTTTCTGTTTCGCCTATTAGATCGCCCTTCTTTAATTTAAAACCGTCCCCTCCTCATGTTGAAAATAACAGAATACCTTTCCAGGCACATCAGTCCATTCAACAACAACCTCAACAACAGTTTGGTTTCCATCAGGGAGCCCAACCATTATCTGGACCATCTATTCAATTATCAGCCCAACAAAACCATAACTCATTCTCAGGTCATGTCTCCCCTTCACCCTCACCTATACCCCAAAGTCAATTTCTTCCCCAACCATCATCTCCTCCTCTTTTTAGCTTTCATCCCCAACCCTCACCAACACCCAACCAACAACATAGTTTTCATCAGCAGCAACAATCTGTGAGTCCATTCCAACAATCACAAAGCCAAACGGAAAGACCTCCTTCAAACTATCAAAATATTTTCCAAGGTCAAACAAGCCATGAACACCAACAAACTGTAGGTCAATTTATACCCAATGATGGAGAATTGGTACCTTCGATACCTAAATACGAACAACATATTACAGTCGACGGACGAAATCCTCAAAGCAATTTTGAAGGCTTAAGTGAAACTAAGCAATCGACCCCTCCATCTATAACGCATGCACAGAACTATTATCAGCAGCAGCAGCAGCAGCAGCAACAGCAACAGCAACAGCAGCAACATCAACAACAACATCAACAACAAACTCAACAACAACATCAACAACAACATCATCAACAACATCAACAACAACATCAATTACACCTGCAGCAACAGCAACAGGAACAGCAACAGGAACAGCAACGACAACAGCTTCAACACGAGCGACAACAACAACAACAAGAAAATCAACAACAACATCAAGCTTTTGACGCCGAACAGGAACAAGTTAGACAACAATTAGCCCAAAACGTTAGAAAACAACAAGAAGAGATACATCGTCTACAGGCGCAACTGGATTATAATCAACAATTACACCAACATCAACAGCAGCAACATCAACAACAGCAACAACAACAAAATCAGTTTGTGCAAGATCAATATAATCAGTACAGAAATAATTACAATCAACAAGAAAGGTCTAGAGCTCAAACACAATTTGTCTCAAGTACACAAGCTCCTTACTATCAATCTACTTCTAGGACCGTTGAAATTAAACCGACTACACAAAAATACGTTTCCTCCACCGTCAACTCCTTGCCATCCACTTCAGAACCAAAAAAAGAAGATAAAAAGAAAAAACCAACAATAGAACTTCCCGATGAAGTACCAGATGATCTTCGTCAGCAATTGCTCTCTTCCGGAATTTTAGATAACGCTGACATCAGTGTCTTGGATTATGATAAAGTTGGTGAAACACCTTTAGAGTCTTTACCTCCGGACCAATTAGCAAATTTTTTCAGTGCAGGGGGTGCTCAACAAATCGCATCAAGTGAACACAAACCTATTGTAGTAAAACCAGATGGCGATCAGGTTGAATCGAGAATTGATGACGATGTTGACGATAACGACCAAGACATTGCTGGGTCAGAGAATATTGCTACTTATGTGGCACCTCCATCAACAGCATCACAAGCCGTGGAAATGAAAGTTGTACATTATGATCCAAGTACTCTTGAAGGTCAGAATATTGCAAAAGATTATGTTAAAGAAGATGCTACTCAAGTTGAACCCGTTGCTTTAAATGATAAGAAATATAACAGATATTTACCTTTAAAGGTAAGCGGGAATCAGTTTCCCCTACCTGATATTCTAAAAGGGAAAAAAATTACTTCTGTTGTTGTATTAGCGCCTGTCCAAACAGAGGATATAAATAGTGAACATACTAGAGCCGAGCGAGCTGCAAGTGATAGCCTAAAGGGAATCAAGTTTGTCGCTGGAGACAGTTTACACGATTTGCTAAAGAAGCCCACAACCGATAACTTTAATAAGTGGCTTGAAGTTGAGAAAAAAACCACTACTGATCAACAGTCTGTCATTCTACTTGTGACAGAGTAAGTACACATAATTATTTTATCAATAAAAATAATTTATATATATCTTGTATAATAATCAACAATTATTATACAAGAAGTATAATAATTGTTGATTATTATCGAAGAAGATATAAGTATTATCGAAGAAGATAGAAGTGATTTCTTGTGTTACTTTTCGTTTCTATTGTAGGTGTATTTCCAATTATATTACCAGAAATCTCGCACATTTGACCCTACTCCACTTTTTCTAGATAGTTTCTTGATTATATACAAGATACGTTTAATATATATATGACAAAGCTGTACCGCCATTTATCTTTCTGATATTTCCCTATCGCTCTTTATGACACCTACGGAACGAAATAATGGGATTCGATCTACGTTTATGTTTACATTATTTTATCTCCCTTTTATACATAGACATATGATTTACATTTTCGCACATTTATAACGCAGTACATTGTGTATGATATTATCATTTATTCGTCTTCCTTTTCTGCCGACTTCCGAAAAGGAGACGGTACTCAATTCGACGCATATGTTTTTTTATGTGTGTTACCTCATAACTTTTTACTGGGTGAACCGATTTGGATGATTCTTTTTTTATATGAAAGCTGATATTTCTTCTGTGGTCCCATATGAATTTGATCAAGGTGAGACCAATAGTTTTTGAGTTATTCTTAATAACTTATATTGAAGTCGGTTGTACAAAATTTTTAATTTTAAATTATTTATTAAACGTTGAAAAAGTATTCACGTATAAACTTCAGAGTAATTTACTATCAGAGTAATTATATCTATTATAAGTGAGCCGTAGTAGCTCAGATGGTTAGCGCTCGCTGTAAATTTCACAGTACGCGAGCAACCCGGTTTGGATATCCGCAGGCACCAATGAAATTGTTAGTTGCAATTTTAAATGCTGATTTACCACGTGCTCGGTGGGGAAGAAAAATATCGTGAGGATACCAGCATGTCTGAGAAAAAAAAAATATTTCGAAGACATGTGAAGTTCGCCAACTCGCATTGGAGCAACGCGGCGGACAGTTTATTGTCCTAAAATCCTCTCAGAAATGAGAGGAGGCCTGTGCCCAGCAGTGGGAGGTATACATGCTATAACTTTTGATTACATACTCCAAGGAATTAACTAAATTAAAATAATTATTAACGTTAATTTAATTATACCCCGATAATTACGTACAGTACATAAGACATTATGACTCGGAGCACTTAGTATAAAACGTTTTGTACACGATGTTTCTGAATTAACTGTACTTGCATATCTTTTAACGCTTGACGCATTCAGAATATATTATCATTCCATTAGCCTTTCTTTTAGGTTCTATTGTAAGCTGATGTGATTGCTTGATAGTGCGCATTGGGAAATATCGGAAAACCATAATTTTAATAATATTATAAGTTTTTAAAACTCAAATACATTTTTAAATCTCTAACTATGAATTGTTAGCGCTTGATGTAAATTATTATTCCTAATAAAACCTCTATCATTTCATTTTTATTTTAAGAAAAAATTAATTAACGGTGACGAGAATTATTTTCTCTCAAAAGCCAATCTTCTCTACACGCTGTTTATTATCTATTGCTAATAAGGCTTTAACAATAAATTGTGGGACATTCGTCTGAAAATGTTGAAACCAAATCATGACATAGTATTGATGGGGAACAGTATTATCTATGACAAAATATCGGTTCTATGCTACCAATCCTCTTGCCCGGCATGATAAGTAAAGTCAAATCTCTAGGGGTGGAAATTAAAGAGACAAACTATCGAGCATTTCGTATATAAACTTCTTACATACCAAATAATATCTATTAGTAATTCTGTTTAACCCTAACAATTTTTTTTTAATATTACAGGAACAATGAACCATCTGAGAATAGAGAAATATTCATGTACGACATTGCATCCGGCAACGTTAACAAACTCAGCGGGGAATTGTCAAACGCCTTCGTTGAAGCTGCAGAAAACAATTCATTGAGCAAAGACATTGAAAAACTAGCCATCGAAGGAGAGGGAACTCCAGAAAACTTTGACAAAGACGTTAAAGGCGACACTGTCTCGGAGGGTTCGGAGAACGTGCCATTATTTGTAGATTTATCAGGTGTAAATTTAGATCAAGAAGATAGCAAAGTATCAATTTCCTCAGGATACAGCAAAACAAAACTCGGCAGATCGCTGCGAAGACAATGATAATTAAAACGCTATTGAGCGATTGACCTTTGTAAATAGTATACTTAGTATTAGTGTTACTAAATTAAAACGACGTGATGTTATTAAATAGTCGTTACATTTGTATGAAAGTGATAATCGGGTTGTATAATATAAAATATTTTTTTAAAACATGTTTTTAATTTGAATTCATCTTACATCTAGCATATGGTGACAGTAGCCACTTATTACAGCCTATAAAATTCCACAGCTGTTTTTAACATAGTTGTCACTCTTGGTAGACGGGTTGACAACCGCAGTTTTTTATTATTTTGGATCAGTATCAGGTAGATAATGCTGCCGTTCCCCTATTACAGTTTATCTCTGTCACGTCTTACGACTTATGACTCCAAGGGACGCTATTGTGTAGTGGATATTCTTACGCCACCAATACACTGTAAAACCTTTCTTCAACCCGTAGACCGGCGAGCATGGGCATATTATCACTAATCAGAGTGGATATGGATATATCGCCAACTCAGATGACTACTGACACCCAGATTTGAAATGGTGTGATGGACACTTACGCCACTACTACAGAGCATTTCTATTGTCCAATTAATGAAGTATTAAAAAGAAATAGATAATTTAGTTAACCTATACCAATGTTATAGTTAGTACATATGTTAAGTGCCGATTTACCACCAAGGTAAAGGAAAACATATTCTACCTCCATGCCTAAGAAATATAGTATTTCGGGGACATGAAAGCACACATTGCAAAAGACACGTGAAATCCGTTAAAACGTATTGGAACAACGCAGTGGACTAATTGCTACCGAACTCTCTCGGAAATAAAAGGAAGCCCATGTCCGGTTGTGGGACGTATAAAGGCTATAACTTTCCTTTATATATTATGGGAATTTCAGAAGTATTCTCGTCTGGTTTGGATTTAATATAAATATGTAAATAATGGTAAGTAAGATAGAATAAAATGTATTTTGACATATATATACATAAAAATAATGTAAAATAAATAAGGACCCAACCAGACGAAAGCCCTCGGTAGGAGAGATCAAACGGCCAAGGCTTATCGGGAAAGGTACAAAATCCTGCGGACTATGCCGACGGTATCAATGAGCACTACCTTCTGCAGACTATAATTTCCTTATAAGATTTACTTTGGTGCCCAGTAGTTTTCTATATATTTAATTTTCTCATTCATTTCATCTTCACTTCTGTTTGCGTCAAAGGACACTAGTTAACTTAGTTACACGTAGTCATTTAAATGTTTTATTAGCTTGCCTTCTTTTTTATTATGCCTCTAGTTTTTTTTATTGTTTTGAGTGGTTATCAAGAAAATGCTGCTGCCCATCTGATTCGTTTCCCTCTGATGCTTCTTTTATGACATCGATAGCCATATGATATGGAGTAATTATTTTTTTACGCCATTCTACACAGTAAATGATATAATAATATATTGTATTAAAGGCATTGGCCCCTAAAAAATCAAAAGCAAAAAAAGATTTAAAACTTCATTGCCGATCTAAAAAGTTATGTAATTATTTAAAAAGCCTCAAAAATCAAAAGAAAAAAACGATGTAAAACTTCTTTGCCCATCTAGAAAGTTATGTAATTAGTTAAAAAGTAATTTTATACTATCGGATAAAATAAGGTGTTTTAGTAAGTTTAATTGTGAACAAATAATAAAGCAATTAAAAATATCAATATTAAAATCTTATGCACCCTACTTCATTATATAAACGAATCCATAAGGCTCTTAACCTTAGCGCCGGCCGCTTAGTAATACGTTATAAAAATATTAGTTTTAGTGGTCATCCAGTGGTCGAATTCAACTGTAATTACGACACTAAGTTTTTGAGTTTGTTTATTAAGGTGGAAGGAAAAGGGGAATTCTTCCATCGGGCAAGGTGTTCAGCCCTGAGATTGGCCAACACCCCGTGTCTAATACAAAACTGTTTTATATATAGGGTTATTTTGCAATATATGCAAAAATTTGCAAAGAAGGTTCAAAATAAATAATATAGGCGAATTGTGAAAAAAAAGATTTTTTT